GTCCTTCCACAGATGCAGCTGGAGCACGCATCCCAGCCCCTCAAGCTCCTGCTGTGGGGTCAGCTACCTCCTCCATGCCCCAGCAGCGCAAACGAAGCCCGGTATCTTCTCTGTGTCATTTTATGGCTAGGAGTTTAAATTTTTAGGATATTTTTGGAATAAGTGTGTCAGGGAAAAATACCCCTGAAGCTCTGGCCAGAACTCAGGGTGCAGAGCGGGAGGGCAGAGCCCCAGTGGGGAAGGCTCCACACCATTAAACCCTTCCAGCCAAAGCTGACCACTGATCGATTAATTTTCTATTTGAAGTTACTGACTCAATAAAATCAGAGATTAGTTATGCTAGAGTTATTAATCCATGGAAAGCTGAATAGCTGGGCTTTTCAGAGGGACAGCAAGTTAATGGGGTATTTTCCGAGGATTTAGAAAGGGAGCAGTTTTCCCTGGATTCGTGGGCTGGCACGAGGCTGATGTGCCTGGAGCAGGGTCTGGGCTCATGCGGCGCCTCTCACACGGAGCCCGCAGGCCCTTTCCGCCACGGAAAATGGCTCTTTTAGTAGAACAAGAGCATTTAGTGAAACAGAGCTTGTCCGCCACTTCCCAGTGGCAGGGGGAAATCCCTCCCCTTCTCAGCCCTCCCAGCTCTGCCCCCAGGAGCCCCAAGGGACATCCCTGCACCCATCCCTACACCCAAATGGGAAGGGAGAAGGCTGTGAGTAAGCAGAGGGAAGGAAAACTTAAAATTACCCAACTGAGCTTCTGCAAATGACGCCTGATCCCAGCCAACATCTTTAAGACATGAAAAAACCATTGTATTTTCCCCACTGAGATTCCAGGTTATTCAAATCTGATCTGAAAAGCTATTTTTGCTCATCTTTGCTTGCAGCTGAAGGGAGCAGCCGAGGCCAACGGAGCAGGAGGATTCCGTATGTTTGTCCTTCTTAAATTCACAGAAGCTTAAAATCTGAACCCTGGTGCTGCCTGGGCACTAGGTGTCAATCAGCACCCAGCAGATGCAGGGTCTGCCCCAGCTTAATGTTAAAGCCCCTTTAACAATCAGGCTGGGCACGGATCTGTTACTGGGAAGTTCGGGAGAGCCCGACGTGCTGCCAAAGTCCCTGGCAAGGGACGCTGTGAGGTGGCTCCTGTGCCAGACAGACCCTGGCCTTTCCCTGCTGAATTTCTCCAAAAGGTCCCAAAAGCAGGAGAGCAGCGAACTGCTGCAGGAGTTAAGGAGGGAGCCAGAAAGAACAGCGTTCCCTCTGGCATTGCCAGAGCAGGTCCTGGCAGGCACCCGAGGCTGGGCAGGGCTGGGAGCTCCGGCAGACACGAGGACATCCCAGCCCCGACCCAGTGGTGACACGGCTGCTGCACCCTGATTAGTCCCAATTAGACCCTAATCCCACATGTTTGCAGATTATTTAAATCAATACATTGGGTTTATTGCAGACAAAGCCCCACTGAGCATCGCCCTGTTTATTAACAACAATTAAAGGATTCCGTGTGGAACATGAAATGGAACAAAATGGGATTGGCACCAGTTTGCTTGGTAGTGAACAGCTGAAGGGCTGAAACAGCAGAGAGCAGCCGAGGGAAGGAGGAGGGAACATGCTGCAGCTGAGCAATGAGATGCCAGAGCACACAGAGCAGGGTCATGGAAAAGGATCATGGACCAGGACCACATGCAGGATCGTGGACTGGGATCATGAAATAGGCTCACGGAGCAGAATCGTGGAGTGGGATCACGCACCCATCAGACTGTCCATGGTCAGACCCACCAGCTCCCCTCCCTCCTCTGCTCCTCACGCCAGGGCACGGCTTTTCCAGACACTGCTCTGGGTGGTTTTCAGGATTTGTTTCCCAGCAGGGCTATCCTGGCCCGGTGGAGAGCTTGGCCATGGACCCCCTGGTCACAACCCAGCCTCGGTCACTGTGACCCAGACTCTGTCCCACAGGAGCCAGTCGAGGGGAGTGGGTTCCCCCAAGCTGCCAAAATCAGGGAGTTCAGCTGGCACCCCCTGTGAAACCCACCAGCAGCTGCCAGCCCCCCCCAGCTCCCAGAGCAGCCCAGGCTCCCCCGGGGTCCCCAAATTCCCTCCTGGGGCCCCCACTCTGTGCTGCAGACCCAGCGATGCTGAAGCTGTCACAGTGATTTCTCTGCTCATCTCAAGCCTTTCTGCTCCCAAACACGCATGGACAGACATTTCAGCAGATAACTGGGGAAACCAGGACCTTTCCCTTTGCACGAAACTGCTGTTCCAGGGCTGTGTTGCCAAAGGGGGGAACGGCACCAGGCAGCCCCAGTGTGAGGGGGAAGGTGGCACTGGGCAGCCCTGGGGAGGGTCAGGGTACGTAACACCACGGGGCATGTGGAAATGAGGAAGAGCTTGTGACATGGATCAGCCCCGGGGCACAGCTGGCTCTGGGTGTTTTGGCCCAACTCTGCCTTGGCACTCGGTTTGGGGGAGCAGCCCAGTAGCCCCCAGGGCCAGGAGCCTGCTGCTCCGAAGGAGACTGCTACCCACTGCCTCTCAGGGAGATGTGAGCTGGCAGGGCCCAGGGATGCTGCTCCAGCAGTGGCGAGCTCAAGCTCCTCTTTACATCCCATGACTTTTTTGAGACTCTGGTGGAAAGGCCTTTTGGGGAGCAGTGGATAAGGCTGTAAATTCCTGAAATGCTCAGCCTGTCCTGTGATGGGAGCCCCAGCAATCATCCAGGATGACAAGGGGAGGCAGTGCCCCCCCATCCCTGCCCCTGCCCTCACCCTGCAGCCCCATTTTGGGGTGTATCAGCTCTTCCTGCTCGTTCTGCACCAGACGGGGGTTCAGCTCCTGAGGACTCCAAGAGCAAACTGAAGCTCACTGAGACTCCCTTGGAAATCACAGGCAATAATTAAATCACTCATGACCCAGTTGGATTAGAACTGGCATCTGTGACACGAAAACATCTTTTATCTGTGGGCACCCCATATCTAATCACCACCTGCACTGTGATTCTGTATGGGACAACAGGGATCTGCCTTGCAAGGAAATGCCTAATGAGCAATGGTTTGTTTATAAGTTGGGGTCTTTGTGGCACAGAGCTAATGAATTGTAATGACGCTGATTAGCACATTTGCCAGCAATGCTCCTCTGCAGCTTTGCTCCATAAGATGCCAGTGTTCACAGCTTATGCAGGAAGAACGGATCCAAGGAGCCAGAGGGGAACGGGGAGACTGAGCAGCAGCTGGGAAGCTGCCTTTGATGTAGCTGTAGATGTCAGCATGAGACAGAGATTCCAGCCCAGAGGAACATCCCATCTTTGTCTAACACAATTATTTCATTTAATCCATTGTCTTTAACCTCCCAAAGCTCCCCCAGTGCTGACATGCCACTGGAGACACTTCTTAGCTGTTCCTCTCCGTGGGCTGTGCCAGGCTGAGCCCAGCAGCAGAGCAGGCACCTGCCTGAGAAGGGGTGAAAACTCCAATGACCACAGGCAGGTGCATTTCCTCAGTACCCAAAGGTACTAGTTTGGCCAGTGAAGGGCTCCCAGATAACTGTAATGGGGCACGGCAGGGCCCCCTCAGCACCACCACCCTGCCAGCCCTGCCTGCACCCTCCTACCCACACACCACAGTCCAGGCAGGAGCACAGGCAGGAGCTTGTCCTGCGCTTGTCCTCAGCTCACTGGGGCAAGGCAGACAGGGACGGTCCCCTCTTGGGACAATGCTGGAAATGAGATTTTTAACCAGAAGCGCAAGGAAAGGTCAACTCCAGCCACACGGAGTGGCTGTGGCGGGAGCAGGAGGGAGAGGGAGGCGCGGGGAGCAGCTGCTGCCTGCAATCCCCCAGTGAGCAGATCCCAGCCCTGCACATGCAGGGCTCTGCTGTGCCCTGCCCGGCCGAGCAGAGCGTGCGGGGGCCCTGGGGCTGCGGCGTCTGCGCACCCCGATGCTGGCAGAGGTCAGGGACGGTGCAGAAGCACAAAGAGCAGACTGGCATGCTCTGAGATTCTTTGGTTCAGTAGGAAACACATCCTTGGACAGCCTCCCATCGAGCCACAGCCAGATTCAGGGTAAAATCTGGAAGCTGCAGGCTGGAATTTATGAACCCTGTCCCCATTAAAATAGCCGGCGATATTTCCATCTGTCAGTAACAATGATGAACCTACTCCTTTGCATGGTTCCAGTCTGCCCAGTCTCTAGGAAGAGCAGGAGCAGGGAACCAGATAATCTTTAAGGTTCCTTCCACTCAGGGCATTCTGTGATTCTATGAAATTCTCGTGGTTTGCTCCCAGCGCCAGACAAACCCTCACAGCTCAGGCAGAGCAGGTCAGCCATGGTGACAGGGTGACATTTCTGGGCATATTTCCCTGTTTTTATGCAGAAAATCTGCAGAGCCAGCTGGGCCCAGCCAGGTGAACGCTGGCAGATGGTACAGAGGGCAAGTGAGTCCTTGCCCTTGCACGAGCTCCTGCCCAGCGGCGCGGCACCTGCGTGTGCAGGCATCTCTGCCATGGGCCAGCATCCCTGCTGCAGCTGAAGGGGCCTCAACACCAACATCTAAGCAGCATTTTGAATCAAACTCAGCACAGATACAGGAGATATGCACATCAGGAGCCTGGAGGAACAGGGTCGGGGCAGCACCTGGGAAGCAGCATCCAGTAGCCCAGCAACCGACAGCCAGTCCACCCTTGGACTCGCTCGTCCCCGCTGCACAAACCTTCTACAGAACCCAAAAATACGCCCACAAAGACACAGAGCACCAGCAGCCACACTTACACATGGACAGATCCACACGTGTCCATCCCTCTAGTGCCACAGCATGGGCTCTCAGGCCCCAAAACCACCTGAGGGCTGGCAGTGACAGTTGGGGGAAGCCCTGCACTTCTCAGGCAGACCAGCAAGTGAGATGCCAAGGACAGAACACAGCCTTCCCGAACTTTCCATGAGCCCAGCGGAGCAGCTGTGCCAGAGCAAGGGCAGCCTTTGGGCAAGCTCGACCTGCTGGGTGGGCTCCTACCTTGGGCTGCTGGCATCTTCCCCTTGTTGAGCTGCTTGAGGCGCTTCTGGTGGGACTTGCCGTTGTAGTGGATCTGAGCCTGCGCGGCCGAGTTGAGCTGGATGTTGCAGACCTCGCAGAGTGTGAACGACTGGTGCTTCTTCTCCCGCTTCATGCGCTGCTCGGGCTGGCTGGGGGGGCAGCTGGCCACCTCTGCCAGCCGCACCGCGCTCTCGGGGCTGTGGGATGGGCTCAGGGGTCGCTTCATGCCTGCGGGAGGAAGGACAGACCCGCCATGAGGACAGAGGGACAGGAACAGGGTGCCATGTGAGGCTGGAGAGCCCAGCACAGGTCCCACGCCTCTGGGGTGTCTGGATCCAGGGGGCATCCCTGAGCAAGAGCAACAGCGTTTGGGCAAGATGACATGAGCAGCAGCATTCCCGGAAGGGAATAACCCACTTCTTCCAAGTTTCCAGCTCCAGAAGACACTCCTTGTGTCAGTTCAAGTTTCTGTTCACTCCCGGACAGCACCGTAGGTTGGCCCAGGGCAGAGTTGGGATGGAACCAACTCTCTGCAGGCAAGAGACTCAGCTGGCAGGACTCGTGTGCGGTGCAGGGATTCCACAGCCCATCCCCACCATGGCAGGAGGACGACTGGCACCAGGACTGCCAGCCACCAGTAGGTGCCCGTCCTGAACGTGGGGCTCTGTGGACCACCTTGTGTGGGAAGCTGAAGCCCCAGACCCATGCAGGGACACCACAGGGAAAATCTGCCCAGGGAGGGGCTGGGGACAGCCCTCCAGTGACCTTTGCCTTGCAGGGACACTGTCCCTGCTGCCCAACCCAGAGCTGGGAGCTGGGGGGACATCCAGAACGGCCTCAGAGGTGCGAAAGTCACCCGAGCCCCGTGATCCAGTTACCACCTTGGAGCTGGCAGCTGCTGGTTACAAATACCCACAGGCACGCTGTGCCGAGACACCCCGAGGGGCCAAAGCAGGGGCCAGGGTGTCTGTGGGTGGCCAGGCGGGACCCAAGGGTGCCCTGCAGAGCCATCCCTGGCATCCTCGGGCAGGGCTGCATGGGGACCGTGCAGGGCTCAGCCACCTGTGTACCCCATGGGAGTGGAGCAGGGACCAGACCGGGGGCTTTGGCTCAGGCAGCCCAAAAGCTGCTGTGTCGTGCT